ATACAGGACACTACAAAGTATGTATAGAATACTATTTATTGCTGCCCAGCTTTCTGATTGGCCGGGAAGCCGGCTTCATGCTCCTCGTCATGAGGGAGCATGGAGCCGGCTTCCTTAATGGAACGTCCGGTATCGGCAAGTACTGAAAAAATATATATCGGTACTCAATACCGAAAATCTGGTATCGGTGCATCCCTACTATTTATACCTTGTGAAATCCTCATATAGAATCTCTAGTGTGACTTCCATGTGGGCATCCAATGTGACTCCAATACAGGGTATCTAGTGTTACCCACATACAGAGGCCTCTAGTGTGAGCCCCACACAGGGCATGCAGTGTTATCCCCATACATGGCATGTAGTATGACCCCTGTACAGGGCATGTAGTGTTAACTCCATACACGACATGTAGTATGATACCTGTACAGGGCACGTAGTGTTATCCCCATACATGGCATGTAGTATCACCCCTCTACAGGGCATGTAGTGCTATCCCCATACATGGCATGTAGTATGACCCCTGCACAGGGCATGTAGTGCTATCCCCATACATGGCATGTAGTATGACCCCTGCAACGGGCATGTAGTGCTATCCCCATACATGGCATGTAGTATGACCCCTGCACAGGGCATCTAGTGTTATCCCCATATATGTCATGTATTATTCCCCTGTATAGAGTGTACAGTGTTATCTTCATCCTTGAACGATGAAGGAAGGATGGGGATCCCCATGTATCTCCCGGCACAGAGGAGCTGAGCTCAGGATGAAGGACTGATGACGCTGCTCTCTCCTCTCCCCCGTCTGTGCGCATCCTCCATACGGAGCCCTCCCAGCTGGAACATGGCGCTGAATAATTTCCTCTTCGCCCAATGCATCCTCTTTTTCCTGGCCTTCCTCTTCAGCTTCATCGCCGTGGTGCCCCTGTCCGAGAACAGCGTTGATTTCCACGGCAAATGTCTGCTCTTCACCGAGGGCGTGTGGCTGAGCGGGAACATCTCCCTGGAGAGGGAACACTTCACTGTGGATGAATGGGGGCCGGAGTCCGCCTGCAGGTTCAGTGTCTTCACCGGGGTTCTGTCTCTGCTGGTCTCCGCTGTGCAGGCCTGGAGGTCCCTCTTCCTCCTCTGCAAGGGCCACGACGAGTGAGTACCTGTGTGGAGGGGCTGCAATGTGTGCCGGTGTATGGCGGGGGGGGGGCGGACAGAGACTGCCAGCGGCTGATGGGTGGCTGGTTCAGCACCATAGACAGCGCTCTTCTCTCTCTCCTCCACCATCACTTCTCTTTCTCTCCTGTCTTTCTTTATTCTCTCTTTTCTTCCTCTCTCCATTGTCTCTGTCCCCCTCTCCCTTCTGTCTCTTTTTAACAAATTTCTAATTTCTGTCCACCTTTCATCCCCCCTCTTCTTCCTTTCTTTTTCATGTATCTATCTTTCACTCTCTCCCCTACCTCTTGCGCCTCTCTCTCTTTTCTACTCTCTCTGTTTTACTTTCACTCTCTTCTTGCTCTCCCCCTTCTGTCTTTTTTCTGCCTCTTCTCTCGCATCTTTCTTCTATCTCTTTTCTCTCTTGTTCCTCTTTCCTACCTTTTCTCTCTCTCTCTCTCTCTTCTGGCTCTTCTCTCTCTTTCTCTTCTACCTCTTATTTTTCTTTTTTCTATCGCTTATCTCTCTTTCTTCTACCTTATCTCTCTCTTCTGCCTCTTCTCTTTTTTTCTACCATATCTCTCTCTTTGACTGCTTTTCTCTGTCTTCTACTTCTTCTTTCTCTCTTCTACCTCTTCTCTCTATTCTACTTCTTTTCTCTCTTCTCCCCCATCTTTCTGTATTCCACCTCTTCTCTTTGTATCCTACCTCTTCTCTCTCTCTCTCTCTCTCTCTCTCTCTCCTTTCTATCCCTATATTCTATTTCTCTTAAACCCCCCCACCCCCATCTACCCATCTACCTCTTCTCTCTCTTTTCTACTTCTCTTTCTCGCTCCTATTTCTATCCCTATATTCTACCTCTTCTCTCTCTCTCTCTCTTTTACCCCTATTCTCTTCTACCTCTTCTCTCTCTCTCTCTCTCTCTCTCTCTCGCTCTTATTTCCATCCCTATAGTCTACCTCCTCTCTCTCCTTTACACCCCTCTTCTTCCTCTCTCTCCCTCTTCTACCTCTTCTCTCGCTCTTCTTTCTATCTCTATATTCTGCCACTTCTCTCTCTCTCTCTTTTACCCCCCTCTTCTCTTCTACCTCTTTTCTCTCTCTCACTTCTACCTCTCCTCTCTCTCAGCGTTATGTATACAGTATACTGTATGTCAAATATTTTCTTATGTTTGTACAGTTATGGCATGAATCCAGCCAAGAGGAACTTGTACTTGGAGGCCTATTGATAGTATAAACAGTAAAGCTGCCAATAAGGCCAAGAACAGTGTGCGGTAACACAGTGTGTGATTACTGGTTCTCTTTCACAGGTCTGATTACAGTAAGCTGAAATGGGATTTTTTTGTATTAAAGCACATTGCAGATTATCATTGTACTTTGTATTTGCCCAAATGTATGCCATCAAGGGCCCCTCTACACTCCAGCAGCACCAGATCCAAGTGACACTAAAGACACACGGTGCCATTGACAAGTGTGAACCTCCACTTATGGTCCTTTCATTGAGGAAGTCTTTCCACTCAAAAAATAGGTCATCAGACACCACCCCAAGCTCATGCATAATGTATGTCCTGAACATTGGGGCTCATGGTTTATGGCATTTCAGGTATCTGTCAGCATCATGGGCCTGGGAACAGTTGACCCAACACACGTCAATCGGTGTGTGTACAGGACAGTGTTTATGAAAAACCTTCATTGTTAGCTGTGTCTGCATAAGTGCCTGTGTAGGTGGGCTGTAGGCTAGTGTAAATCACTCAGCCTTATAGTTCGAGCCGACGTGTGACAATGAAACTGTCACACATTGGCTCAATAGATCAGGAAGTGAGCGAACACATACCACCGCTTGCTCACTTCTCGATCCTGTGCCTGCAGAGAACCGTGACTGTCACTCACGGCTCCCTGCAGGGATTCCCCCCCTCCCATGTCCGATCCTCCAGCGCTGACAGGCGGAATGGACAGGGAGGGGGTGGGTACAGCTGGCTCTGCCTTTAGATAGGCAGAACCAGCTGTCACTCACGCAGCTGGGTGGATCCAGACAGTATTGTCAGGATCCATCCCGGCTGTGGCGTCTCCGTATACCGCGAGCTGTAGCTCGCGGTATACTGAGCTTTGGGTGACAGGAGGATGCTAGTTTGTGTCCTCCCGTTACCCTTAGGAGAACTATGGGGAAAAGCACTGACCCCATAGTTCTCCTTTAAGGACTGAAAAACTGCAATATATTACGTATTTGTTTGCGCCTTTAGTACCACATTAAGTCCTTTTTTTATAGTCTTCTATTACAACTTTGAAGACAAACACATAGGACAGCTGTGTACTTCAATCACTGTAGGCTCTGAATTGTGCCTGCTACCTGTTTGTGATTGAGCAATGGCAGACATGGTTAGGAGACGGATTAAGATTTATGATGCAGAATCTCATTATATTAAAAAATTAAGGTATTTAAGTGACAAGGATAATGAGGTCCGGGAAATGTATGTCCTGAACATTGGGGCTCATGGTTTATGGCATTTCAGGTATCTGTCAGCATCATGGGCCTGGGAACAGTTGACCCAACACACGTCAATCGGTGTGTGTACAGGACAGTGTTTATGAAAAACCTTCATTGTTAGCTGTGTCTGCATAAGTGCCTGTGTAGGTGGGCTGTAGGCTAGTGTAAATCACTCAGCCTTATAGTTCGAGCCGACGTGTGACAATGAAACTGTCACACATTGGCTCAATAGATCAGGAAGTGAGCGAACACATACCACCGCTTGCTCACTTCTCGATCCTGTGCCTGCAGAGAACCGTGACTGTCACTCACGGCTCCCTGCAGGGATTCCCCCCCTCCCATGTCCGATCCTCCAGCGCTGACAGGCGGAATGGACAGGGAGGGGGTGGGTACAGCTGGCTCTGCCTTTAGATAGGCAGAACCAGCTGTCACTCACGCAGCTGGGTGGATCCAGACAGTATTGTCAGGATCCATCCCGGCTGTGGCGTCTCCGTATACCGCGAGCTGTAGCTCGCGGTATACTGAGCTTTGGGTGACAGGAGGATGCTAGTTTGTGTCCTCCCGTTACCCTTAGGAGAACTATGGGGAAAAGCACTGACCCCATAGTTCTCCTTTAAGGACTGAAAAACTGCAATATATTACGTATTTGTTTGCGCCTTTAGTACCACATTAAGTCCTTTTTTTATAGTCTTCTATTACAACTTTGAAGACAAACACATAGGACAGCTGTGTACTTCAATCACTGTAGGCTCTGAATTGTGCCTGCTACCTGTTTGTGATTGAGCAATGGCAGACATGGTTAGGAGACGGATTAAGATTTATGATGCAGAATCTCATTATATTAAAAAATTAAGGTATTTAAGTGACAAGGATAATGAGGTCCGGGCAGAGTAATCTCAAGTCCTCCCGTCTCTCCTTGGTGTTATTAATTAAAGCAGATGTCTTAGGAGAGCACTTATTCCTTCTCTGTGCTGGCTGGATGGTGTTTGGAGCGTCTGCTTATGGTGTTCTTTGCGTTTCCCGTGAGTTACATTGCCTTTCTTTTTTTTTATTGCAGCTCTTTCTTTTATGCCTTCCTAAATCTGCTGATCAGCTCCTTTGTGGTTTTCGTTATCTTTATTGCCAGCACCATCGTAAGCGTTGGCTTTAACATGTGGTGCGACGCAATTACGGAGAAAGGAAGTATGCCCAACAGGTTGGTGGAAAAGATTTATGGCTGTCCTTTTATGTAGATGGTTTTAAAAATGGGAGATTTATAACACAGAGAGTCTTCGGCCTTCTTCATGTTTTTGTGGACATGAATGTGATTGGAATCAACTTGAAGTAAACTTGTCAGGGGAGAAATACAGGAGCTGCCATTTCTGACTTTCTTCTGAGTTCACTGGCTATGTGGAACCTCTGCCTTCAATAGTTTGTATTATCAACCCAGAATATCATGGAAGGTTGGACAAATAAGTCAGAAGCCTTGATCTCCATTCTTTTTCTGGGGGTCAGTACCAGGAGGTCAGCATGAATGCCAAGCAATTATTGGTTTTGAGAAGCAGAGAAAGAACAGAAGCCTCCATGTATCGCTCATGATAGTCTGTAATTCAGGGGTTTTCAAACTCTGGTTCTACGGCTGTTGTGGAACTACAAATCCCATGAGGCATTGCAAGACTGTGACGGAAACAGGCTACTTCACCAGTGCCTTCCAGGGAGCTCTTGCAGCTAAACTGTGGGAGAACATTTGGCAATGGTTTTAACAAAAACTAGATGGTTGAAGTGTGGCTACCCCTGGTGACCATTTTGAGGCAGACCTTCCCCCCGCCCTTGCTAAACTGCCAGCACTTATTAAATGTGTTTATGACAACAAGTAAACCAAACATGTCGATGCCTGGCTATTCCTTCCTCTTTCTCTGGACTGCTCCACCAATGAGGTCTGCTTTTAGGGCTTGTTCACACCAAATGCAGACTAGATCTGCATGAGTTTCTGCACATGCAGTGCAGTGTGTTTTGCCGCATTTTTGACGCGTTCCGAGCTGTTTTTGTAATATATATATATTTTTTTAGCCTAAAATGGGCTTTCAGTGCATTCCAGGGCATTTGCATGCATTTTTTATGTGTTTTCCAGGTATGTGAGTGGTAGCCTTGGCAATGGCAATGTGTTTCAGGCAGGGACGGGTCTCCCTTTCTCAAGCCTATAAGAATGCTAAGTTTTTGTGTGGCTGAGTCCCCAAAAAAGACTGAACATGAAACTGATATGTCTTTTGTGTTTAGTAGGGAGAGCCGTCAGTCCTGCCAATTGCATGGGAAGCAAGGTAGAAAGCCACATGCTCTCCTGTACCCAAACATAGCCAGTATTTTACTCTTGCAGATGAACAGGGCAGCGGAGTGGCACATAGGAGAACTATATAAGCAGCAAAAGGGAAGCTGGCTACTAAGGTGTGTGTATAGCCAAGAGTTACGACCCCTGTAAGTTATTTTATGTTGTCTGTATTGCAATGGGGAGATTGTCATTTCCTGTCCTGGAGATTGAGCAGAAAGTAAGAAGACATTTCTGCAAAGTGAGACAAGGAAGCAAGTGTCTTCAACGGAAGATTTTTGCTTCCTTCATTCTATTGACAGTTGTAAAATTTTGTCATTTCTGCTGTCTGTCTATCTTGGGGACAATGTTCAGTAGAGAAGGTGAATCTCCCCAGCAGTGACTCTGACAGCAATAAATACCTAAGAGGGGTCCCAACCTTCCACATTTTGTTCAAAACTAAAAAAAAAGTATATTGGCAATACATACACTTTTAGGCAAACCAGTTCACTCTAGCAAATGGCAAATAAAGATGGCCACCAATTGCATGGAAAGGATAACTGCTCTACTCAATTTGTTTTTGGCTCTTTTCAAATAGCTTTCTGGTATAATTTACTTTCTGGCATATCTGCTAATATGTTTTGTAACTTTCCAAAGCTGTGAAGAACTCCAGGACAGAAACCTTGAACTTAATGTAGAAAATTCCTCTTTCTACGACCAGTTTGCCATTGCCCAGGTAAGTGGTTATTAAAAGGTTTGTAATTGTTTGAATTAAGCATGTGATCTTCCTTTCTATGTCTTTCCAAATACACATATAGGGCATACATTGAAACAGAACAAAGTCAATCATGTTTATATTTACCAGACCAGTCCAAGCAAAACTGATTTCAGGTTGTTGTAGATGCTGAAAATGTAAGTCCCGAGGCTCTTAAGTGTCTCAGGGAATACAGAGATGAGGCTTCCACAGCTGACCTCCTGAACATGCACATCTGCTGCGACCCTTATGAGGCAGTCCGATCTGCCTAATGGGTTTAGATTTTTATACTACAAAGCAACCAGTAGCAGCAAAAACCCCAAAGTTAGGCAAGAGCACCACAAACTCAATGCTGGGTATACGTCGTGGCAGGGAAATCTCAACACTGCGATCCCCATGAACTAAAAGCTGTCATCAGATAACGTAGCCCAGCACACTCCACCCATTACTGAAATGTTACTTGAGTGTAGCTATAGTACAGCTGTCAGTAGTAAAATTGTTCTAAACTGGCTTAAGAATTTAAACATCTTCTTAAGCTTCCTAAGGAGAGCTAATATAATCTAATATGTTCCTAGCACTGTTTAAAGCAGGCCGCTCCTACTACTGCATGCAACAGGCCAACTCTTTAGCACTCAGGGGCTTACTAATAGTGGAAACCAATATCTGCTCTCCACTGGACACCACATTGAATAGTCCACACCTGTATTTTAGGAGCCATTCATGAAATGAGGGTCATGGTTTGGGACCTGTGGTGCCCCACACACTCCTCTATGCATAATGCTGCCACCAGAACTTCATAATTGAGTTTGACAGGTCATGTGACAAGGCTCTCCTCCACCGCTGTGCTTTTTAAATGTATGCCATTTTTTTCTTATCAAAGCAACAATATGGCCATGATAAGACCACACTGCTACTTAATAAATGGGGCTCTGAGTGCCAGAATTGTTGTATTATAGATCACAGGGTTTGAGGATCTCGGTACACTTTAGAAGATATTTAAAGATAGGTACCTGCATTTTAGTTCTGTAGCCAGTTTGCAGCCAGATGTACTTTTTATAATCCTTCATTAGAATACATATTTTCGCCCTGTAGTTCTGCACTCCAATGTACAAATCTATGAAATTTCACTATGACACCTATAGGATAGTAAAATATTGTTATAGGATTGATTGACAAGGATTCTGACCTTGTGAAAGCATCATGTTCTAGAAAACCCCATCTCATTTACCCAATTTAAATGCAAATAGCTGGTATAAAAGACGCGCCATTGATTTTCTAAGGACTCCATTCATAGATTTGCAAAGTTGCCTTTTGAGAGTATTACCTTGCAGTGGTATCTTCTGAAACGACTTTCAAGATGACTTTCAAATTTCATCAGATATACAAATGAAACCTAGCATGCGTAATATGCCAAGGCTGCTTTTTACATTCAGTCGTATCCTACCCAACAGCATTGGGGGGAATTTACCATAGCAATTGCGAGTGTTTGAACTTGCACGGAATATATTTGATGCCCTTTGTGCCAGATTTATGATGCTAGTGTAATGTTGTTCATAAATGAGGTTTAATAGACTCCAGGAAAGAAGACTTGTAACTCCAGGCAAAAAGCTTAACTGACGCATCTTGAAGAAGTGGTCACGGGGACTTCTTAAGGTGCGATTGTTTTGTTAGGTGATGCTCCAGTTTCAGACAGCTGCAGAACAAGCGCAGATGAAAACAGGTGCAAAAACCATGCAAAAAAATGTGCAATTGAAAAAGTAGTGCAAGCTATGGTCAAAACAGGTGCAAAACATGTGCAGTTGGAAAAGTAGTGCAAGCTCAGATCAAAACAGGGGCACATGTTAAAAGACAGATTTGCACATAAAAAAAATTATCTAAGAGGCTAAAACTGTCACAATTGCTTTGATAAATTCCCCCATTGTGTTTAATAATAATGTGGGCAAGAATCACAAATCAAATGTATATGCAGTATTCCAAATAACTAATACACTGAGCTTACCTCAACCATGACCCAGGCCAACCAACAGTATCAATTTAAGTTAAAACATGCAATTGATATTGCAGTGTGACCTGATTGTAGAGTATGATCATATGCAGAAGTACAAATGACTCCCTCAGCAAACGCACAAAGAAATCTGAGGCATTCTTTGTAGCTTTTGTGTCCACACCGTTTTGTACAAATGTGCTATAGATTATTTCATCATTGACTCTCATTTTTTTGCTTGTATAATTTTAAGATTACTTTACTAACCTCTGCAGAGACCCCGAGGTCATTCAAGTTTATGTATAACAAAAATGTTTCTTTTTAGTTTTCAATAGAATAGAACAGGTTAAAACCCCTGTCAGTTTTTTGTTGTTGTGCAGGGTTTTAGGAGGGCTGTGCAGGGTCTCAGGAGGCTGTGCAGGGTTTTAGGAGGGCTGTGCATGGTTTTAGGAGGGCTGTGAAGGGTCTAAGGAGGCTGTGCAGGGTTTTAAGAGGGCTCTGCATGGTCTCAGGTGGCTGTGCAGGGTCTTAGTGGGCTGTGCGGGTCTCATGATGCTGTGCGGGGTTTCAGGTAACTGTGCGGGGTTTCACCAGGGGTCCAGTTGGTCTTGCAGGTGGGTGCAGGCGGCGTAGTTTCAGGAAGGAGGAGATGTGTGACCGGTACTGTAAGCAGGCTTGGGACCTCGGCAGCCTTCCTGTGAACCGTGGCACCTGTTTACAGCACCGGCTTCAGTTTAAATATTTAAAGCGCTGGTATCGGCCCTTAGTATTGGGCCATTTTCAGGAGTATGAGTGCTCGTGGAAATGCCCAGTATCGGTGCATCCCTAATTATTTATATTTAATATATAACATTAGATGTAGTGACTGAACTATATTTTCACCTCGTGATGCTGCCAATAACAGAATTCCTACCCTAAGGTGACAACACTCACTCACTGTACTGTGTCTTCAGAGGAAGCCATGGTTTTCACACTAGTACATAACTACCAACATGTCTTCTTCTCTTTATTTCCATTACATGGAGGAGGGGGATAATTCGTAGTATAGATAGCTTTGAAAGAAAGATATCATTGTTTAAAATATCAGTTCAGCTCACAGGAATTTACAAGGACCAACAGGTATTTTCAGTACTTGCTGAAAATGTGCTTAGCCTGAAAAAATTAAACGAATGCAACCACCATATCTGAGGATCAGAAAGGAGGCTGGGCTCGGTGTGAACCCCCTCCTCCTGACCCAATAAATGGCTGCAATTGCGGTGGGGGCATTCCCTGCCCCTTTTCCTACCCCATAGCTGTGCGGCAGGAAATGCGCCTTTTAACAGCTGATTGAATTGGAGTGGGAGTTTTCAGTGAGCTTGGGCAAACTCTACTACTACTGAGAAGTGGAAAAGTGCAGTGTATTACATTCTTGTTTTTGAGTTTAGATACACTTTAACTTTCACCTCCTGAGCAATTACCAACAAGGACATTGTTTTTCTTCTTCTAGTTTGGTCTTTGGGCTGCCTGGCTTGCATGGCTGGGAATTTCCATCCTTGCATTCTTGAAAGTCTACCACAATTACAGACAGGAGGACCTGCTGGACAGTCTGATTCTAGAGAAGGAACATTTGATTGCAAAGTCATCATCCAGACAATCAATGCATGAAGAGAAGAGTGGAATGATTTAACCGAAACCAGCCATAACATATTGCAATATTTAAAAAATGAAAGCCACACGGTATATATTCTAATTTGGTTTACTTCCTTCTAAACGGTTCTGACAAAGTGGCACAGTGGCTTTCTCTTCTCCGCAATTAGGCTGCCATTATTTGCCAATGAGCAGTTGTTTCTTTTAAGAGATGATGTCTGCCATATTGCAACAAATCATATCAAGTGTTTGCTGAGATAGCTACATGCTTTTAACTTGACATTTAAAGGGTCGGTCCATCTACAGGTGATATTTTACTCATAGGTGGAAAAAAGTGGGCTGGGTCGACCCCCTAGCTTCGTATATGTCTGGGTGAACTAAACCTTTAAGAAATTACATTGTATACAAAATAGTATACATAATTACACTGTATACAGAATTGATTTAAGCCAAAGTTACATTATCCTTTTTTTGGAAAAATAAATAACTCTGAAGGATTCATGAATTGTTCTTGCAAGTCCGTGAGTGGTGTGGGGGAAACAACAACCTTATTCAATAACAGTACAGAAAGCAATGATGTACTGTATTTTTTGCACCCAGTCAGAGCTAAGTGTTTACAAGTGTAGTTTTTATTACTGCTTGTACTCAATTGGTGGGATTTAGCTCCACTTCCTGCCATGGTGACAGCTCCTGGTTGACTTTGTCATCAGCCCCTAGTTGATTCTCCAAAGGAATATTTGTAGAACATATTTCACAGAGAGTAAAAGAACATACAACTCACAGCAATATTCTAACCTTTACCAGGACAGGAAGTAATGGAATATCTCCTCATGGACAATAATGTTCTGGCCAAAACATAAACACCCTTGCTCACAGTTTTTCAAAAAGAAGACTACTTGTAAAGAAAACATTACCACCACCCCCACTGCCAGTCTCCATCCTCTTGAAGAGAGAAGCTTACTGAACAAGCTTCATCACATGAAACATTTCTGGGAGCGTCGAATACCTAATCCCCCTACTTGCATGGTAGTGACAGCTAAGGACCAAATCTAAGGACTGGCAAGCTCCAGTATATTACACTTTTCTGGGGGTTTGACACGTTTCAACCTTTCTTCACTCTAGCAAAAACTAAAAAAAAAATTGAAGGCCACTAAAATTAACGAAGGGTAGGATGGATGCTGAAAATTTGCAAATCTGTTGATCATGAAAGGGTCATTTCAAGACTGTCCAAAGATGGGCAACCTTATATCATAAGCTCATGCATGCCTATATTAATAGTGGACGCCCTTGAAACCAGTAGGAACATTTTTGTCTATTTGGCTGAATAAGTGAATGTCCTTTAATCTGTTGGTTGTCGTTGTCTGCTGGGATCTGAAGGCACCAATAAACATTCTGGTTGTTTCACAGACTAGTGATGGATATAAATTGCCTATGAATACCTTTAGACATAGAAGCTATGATGATTTTTTGGCAATGGGTTACTGAAAATCTTAGAATAATATTGTGGCTTCTAACAAAGCACTCATGTATATCCTGTCATGCCAACTAGTGCTAAGGAGGAACATTTTGAGATGTATGTAAACGTTAAAATATCCAGTAACTATAAATGTGTCAGTATTTTTAACTTTGTAAGATATTTATTATGCTTTTCCTCAACATAGCAACAGTTTTGTGAGCTAAACCATGAATCCCTATTACCAGCTAATAGCATATTGGCATGATGCTTAATTATCATGAATGCTGGCTTACAAAAGTAAATAGCTGCTCATTGATGGCATTTATAGTAGGCAAGTTATTGTTTAATGTGCAATTGCTACCTTTAAACTGTCCTTAGCTACAAGCACTTTATGTATAGATTTATTTACTATGGGCAGTAGAAGAGAAGTAGCATGTCTACCATTTCCAGATTCCAATCACAACTTGCATATATGTACTAGCTTAATGCTACTCTGTCACTTTAACAAAAACATAAAAAAACAAGCTGCTAACAAGTTTGAACAGGTATGTAGAGGTGCATGCACGTGCCTGCAGAAGCATGCAATGCCAACAATCTGCTTGAATGCAAAGCTTTAGCACCATCTGGTAGTGCTGGAGCTTGCATGCCATACATTCCTACTGGCACACCATTACGATGGGCTGCCCCCTGGCACCTTGGCCAAAAAAATTGACTGGTGGTGGGAAGGGAAAGGCAGTATAGTCAGGTAGTTTTAGTTTAAAGTCACATTAATCTTAAAAAAATAGCTCTCTGTACAGAAGAATGTCTACATCACTACATAACACATTAGTGACACAGAGGTCAGCATTTTTATAGGAGGTGGGCTAGCACACAGCAATGCTTTTGTAACTACGTGGTCCAACATTCTTCTTCCCTGCCGGGTTGTGACGGCTGGTCCACCAAAGCTTCTCTAGTCGTCGACCCTTATGCCAACATCATTAATCCTGCACTGGAATCAGAGTTAGACTGGCGACCATGTCTTGTCATGCAAGACATGACTGCTGGAAGGAGTGCATAGCTAACACAGGACCATGAAGTAAGTATTATACCCAGCTATAGGAGGCAATGGAAGCCAAAATATAAGTCACATGGCTGAATAGAACAATATATGTGTTATAGTTTAGTGAACATATAACCACATTCTAAAGCAACATATCTAAGATCTGGGATAAGTGCATGCTTTAAATGTAAAATTCAAAACATGTATGTTGTATGCTGGTCTGATGCTGACAAACTGCATTCATATAATTTTTGAGGACTTTGTAATGTGTAGGCACATCCAGTAATGGGAGGACTTTCAAAGTTGGGTGTACATAAATGGAGGCCACCTTCACTGGATGGATTATTGTAGCTAACCTGCAGGCAGAGTATAAGGATGCACAAAGTTTGTCAGAGACACTACATCTTGCACCTATGCTCATATAACGAAGGGCATAACCCTAGAACGCGTGTATCCTTAGGACCATGGCACACTAGTGATAGGATCGTAATGCAGAGCAAATACTGACATTGTACCCAACTTTGCTCTCTCGCTGTCTACATAAGGGAGCACTTGATTTGGTGCTAGTTAAAACATTGACGAATATCATCCACCAGCAATGACTCAGTTGTCCCGTCGAGACATATGAAAACAGTTAAGTACTTGCTGTGCATAGCGATCCTGATGCAGGTCAGGGACAGTATCATTGGTGTGACATCATCCTTAAGCTTGGTCCCCATGTTTGCTTTAATAAATTAGATATTTCCTATAGAGATTGGACTCTGTGACCTTTTCTATCTTGTGGAAGTTAGATTGGAGGAGTTGTGGTCAACCGTTAGGATTCTGTTGAGCTCCACTGATTGTTTACATTTTCAGCTCCCTAAGTCAGCACCTGTATATCATAGAATTTGCTTTCTCCAAGTTCATATATGTCATTGCTGGAGAGCAGATGGCCAGCAAAGGTCATCAAATGACTGAATAGGAAGGCCTCTGTGGAGGTGTATCAGTCACATCATCACAATATAGAATTGTCTATGCAGTTATGGTGACCATAGTAAATGATCTTGATAGTATTAACATGATATCTTTACAATAGCATGTGAAATTATATACTAATTCATACTAATAGCATCATCTAATAACCACCATAATAGCATCATCTAATAACCACCATAACTACCACTTCCACGCTGTATTCAAAACAAAACAAAAAAAGCTTTAAGTGTTACAGTGGGAGGTTGTCTCAATGCCTCTCTTAAGTGTTAGGAATGGGGGGAGCTAAGTGTTAAGAGTCAGGTTAAGGGCTCATTTTAGGTATTAGGTTAGGTCAGGGGTAGGCAACCTTGGCACTCCAGCTGTGTTGAGACTACAGCTAGGGCAGGGTTTAGAGTTAAGGAACGCTTTAGGGTAGGAAATTATTTTTTTACTGAATAAAACTTTGGGCAGCTACACAATGCATGCTAGTTCATTGGTTCCAAGAGGCTTGTACCAAAAAATAGCAACACCAGCCTGTGCTAAGAACGAATGTATCATAGCCACACACCTTGCCATTTGTGAAATCAGTGATACGGCAGTCCTTTACATAATAAACCCTATGAACAGTGCATACAAAAAATAACTATACCATTTAAGTGGTTTGGTGCCACAGTTTCACAATCATGCTTGTGTGGCATCACCCTGGCACCTGTCTGTAAAATGTACATAATTTTTATTTATTGCTAATTGCTGACAATAATGATTTGTATGGCTTGCAATGTAAAATATATATGACATATCCTATAATTATATAAAACTCAGTTATTCCAGTCTTCAGTAAAGTGTGAAATAATTATCTTGGTAGTTACTAAGTGAAGGTTATGAAAATATGAACTGTTGGTGATCCATGATGACCTGATTTGGGAAACATACTGGAGTAGAATATGAAAACCACCAGCTTCACTTCTGCTCCAATCAGGTGTTGCGTTTTGAATGTAAACAGTCCAATTGAACGCCATTAGTTTGGGCTACGACTTCATTTCTGTCCTAATTTTCTTTGACCATAACTCTATCTATCTATCTATCTATCTATCTATCTATCTATCTATCTATCTATCTATCTATCTATCTATCTATCTATATATCTATCTATCTATCCTTGATTTAGACTTTTATTCTTGTGTTGTGCTTGAGATGCTTTGCATAGTATTGTAACATTTTATACTTACCTCTGGCATGGTGAAGGACATTTATGGTTTTATAACCGTGGTAACCCACAACTGACGGGTTGGGTTAAAATGTATGTAAAGTCAAAACTTTATTTTATAGTTTTGGATAGAGTTGGGGAGTGAGTGCTTCTGGGCAGAGTTCCTATACCTCCCAACTTTCTGAGATGAGAAAAAGGGACACCATCCAGCACACTGTATTTATGGACACACCCTGCCATGCCCACAGTTATGCAGGCCATTAAGAATTTATATGCCAAAACTGATTGGTTAAACCCAGAATTGGGGGTTTCCACCATCGCTTTTACTTTTTTATTGACTTTTTAAAATATCAAACAAGATAATTAAGAGATAAGATGAAGGTTTTACAACAGAATAACACTTGATAGTTAAAAATAACGTATTTTTATAGATATTCGTACATCAGACCAAAAGAGAGGCAACTGAGGAGGAAATAGGGTCAGAGTAATTTGGTTCAAAGTGAAGGACAGTCTCTCCAAATGAAGGACATTTGAGAGTTATGGATTCTTCCTCTACTCACTTCCTGTGAGTAGAATTCCCATGTTACAATTTTACACTGAAACATT